ACTTACAGAGAGCTGATATTCTTTTCACAGTGAACAGACACACAAAAGTAATAATTAAGGAACACTATAGTCTCAAGAACAACAACAACCAAAGCTTAGTGTAGTGGTTCATATGTCTATAGCCTGCAGGCTTTGCAATGGGATCTTGTAATAGTTACTCAGAAGGTCATTAGAGGTGCTTCCTTCCATAAAGATGAATTGATTCAATACATCTTTATGAGGAGATGTGGGTTGGCGCGGCATTTCCACACGCATTTGCCATAGCCTTCCAATGGCTTTTTAAGGGAAAGCATAGGATTGGCTGAGGTCATCAAGATTGATGATCTCAGTCCAACCATGAAGGCAGGGCCAGCCGCAGAAAGACAGGCAGCTCATCAGGGCCAGTTGCCTAAACAGCCACACCAGCACTATAGTGTGAGGAATACATACACATATTTGAATTCCTGACACTATAGTGGTCCTTTAAAAACTTGTGCGAGCTCAGATATTATGTCCCAAACTTTAGAATTCCACTGTGAATTTCTGAACATTTAAACTTCAGTGAACCCAAAATTATTGGCAAAAATTAAAAAAAAAAATTAAAAAAAAATAAAAATCAGATTTGAGAAATATTTTTTCTTACTCTGTCGTTTCAGCTTGGATATTTTAGGGTGAATTTTATTACTAAGTTTCCATTTCACAGTTTTGGGGAATAAACTACAGAGCATAATGTGAAATTATATATAAAAAATGGCCCAGACTGCAACAAATCCATACAAGCAAATCTAATTAAACTATATAAAACGCCATTACTTCCAGTCTGAGTGTTTCCCCATATAACTGGCCATGCAGTGCCCTCTCTTACCAGCCCGTTACTGCATTTGCTGCTTCTCTCCATTTTGTCCACGTTTTCCCTTCCGGGCTCCCACGTGACTGGCCGAGCAGCACGTCCCCCGCCTAACTAGCTCGCCTTTTAACCAATCAGCGCTCTCGGACTCTGAGACAGCTCGCTGCCTTCCAATAGCCACGCTGCGAGATGGCAGGAGAGCTCTAAATGCTCGAGACACAGGCAGTGTTTACATTAGGAGCCTGCGTGTAGGGCCAGAGCTTGATGGCAGCTGTAATAGAGTGGGCATTTGAGATTTACTTTAAAGCAGCAGGTGTAGGTTTCGAATATGGAATACTTTGCAGGACATTGGAAATCAGTGCATAATGTGATTTAGTCTCTATTTATTCCACACACCCATCAGTGTCATGTTTCAGTGCAGCATTGATTATGAAATCAACCACCTTTTTGTGACATTGCATTGAGTTGGAGAAGAGTAGATCCACAGCTATGCTTGGCTACAGCTGCTTTAAAAGGATACTCCAAGCACCATCACCACTTCTGAACGCTGTAGTGGTTATGGTGCCATGGATCTCCTGGTAAACTGTGAAACCACTCCTAAAGGGAGACTTACCTTGCTCTGTCAGGTGGCCATGGACCGACCTTTTGGTTTTCACAGTAGTGCTAAAGCGGAGGTTTATATTAGTAGACCAACTTTGGACATTGTTTATTGACCTACAGTTGTCATCTTGTCCAGGGTCCAATCAGATTGCTATTACTATTGACCAAAGATGTACCGTGTACGTCATTTGTAATCAACTGTATAATTGATGACAACGTACATATGAATTGGGTGGGACAGCCCCGATTTCAGGGTCCCACACTGTCGTGATATACATCCCTGAAGTCCCGCATCTTTGGACTAAGGAACTGTCCTTGGGCAATACAGGAAAAGCGCTGTTTAGTGGCATTTTAGGGGTCTTGCAAGTAAGAGGCAGGCTAAAAGGAATTCTGTCAGCCTGGTGTACTTCATGCCAGGTTAACATGACCCTTCTTGAAGGTGGGCACACCAGCTTCCTGGGCAGACCTGCACATTGCAGGAGTCACCAGTCACACAAATTGTCCCCTACAAGGCCCGCTCACACTTTCCAATACTTACCTCACAATGCTGAGTACACTGTTGGTCAGAAAGAGACATTATACTCACTAAAACTACTTATTAATGAAGCAGTTTTTGTGTATAGATAATGTCTCTGAAGTCTGTCACTGCTCAATCCTCTGCCACTTGGGAGTTAAATCACTTTTGTTTCTGTCCATGCAGCCCGAGCCACACCTTCACTGACTGTGACTGACACAGCCTGCATTTTCAATCAGATGGAAAATTACTTTAGAAGTGTTTATCTCCTGCACTGTAAATTGAACTTTAACCACACAGAGGAGTCTTCTGCAAGGTCTAGCAAGCTATTAACACTGCAGGAGATAATAAATTATAAATTAAACAGACTGTGCAATAAAGATCTTGCTTTACAGGAAGTGTTTATGAAGGCTGTGCATGTTACAAGCATGGAGCTGTGACTAGCAGTGGCGGAACTACCGCCGGTGCAGCTGGTGTGGCTTCATCAGGGCCCAGAGCGCTAGGGGGTCCCAGCACCAGGAGTTCCGCCACTGTGTCTGCTGAGTCTAACTGTTGCTGCCTGGTAATGGGTCACCTTTAGAGTCTGGGGCACAGAGCGCTTGGGGAGCCCAGCCCAGCCCAGCCCAGCACAACGCATATTGCTTAACTTGGGCCTGTTCGGGTGCCGCGAATCCTTTAGAGCCTGACCGGGTCCCTGTTATCTTAGCCAGCTGGGAGGAAATGACAGTATGTGTGTATGTATGTGTGCCAGAATGTGTATCTGTGTGTCACTGTATGTTTATGAGTGTGTTTCTTTGTGTCAGTTTGTCTATCTATGTGTCAAGGTGTGTGTATGTGCCAGTGTTTCTGAGTGTGTGTGTATGTGTGTCAGTGTGTATATCTGAGTGTATATCTTTGTGTCAGTGTGTGTATCTTTGTGTCACTGTGTGTACGTATGTGTATCTGGGTGTCACTGTGTGTATCTGAGTGTGTTTTTTCTTTTGTCAGTGTGTGTATCTGTGTGTCAAAGTGTTTGTATCTGCCAGTGTTTCTGAGTGTGTGTGTATGTGTGCCTGTGTGTATCTGAGTGTGTATATTTGTATACATGTATGTGCCAGTGTGTGTATGTGTCAGTGTACGCATTTGAGTGTGTGTGTGTATCTGTGTGCCACTGTGTGTTTGTGCCAGTGTATGTATCTGTGTTTCAGTGTGTGCCTATTTCTGTGTGTTTATTTATCCGTGCATATATGAATGTGTGTGTATCTGTGTGTTAATGTGTATGTATATCTGTGTAAGTATTTATGTATGTGGTAGTGTATGTGCATACATCATAGCAAGCACCAACACACAGGGGCATTTTTCAGGGGGCGGCAAAAAAGCCACCCCCCAAATGCACAGGGCAAATGTCTTATTAGCCTCGCAGCTAACAGACATGCTGGGCGCTGGGCGGCATTGGCGGGCGGGCGGCTGACGAGAGAGCTCTTTCTGTGAGCTGACTGCTCAGCTCCCTCGCGCGCCGCAGAGTGAGACTGGGAGCCGGGTTGATGATGTCATATTCCGGCTCCCAGCCTCACTCTGCGGCGCGCAAGGGAGCTGAGCAGTCAGCTCACAGGAAGAGCTCCCTCTCCAGCCGCCCGCCCGCCAATGCCGCCCACCCAGCAGCCACTGGACCACCAGGGAGATAGAGAACCCCTTCCCTCCCCAGCACTCCCAGAGGTAAGGAGGCTGGAGGGGGGGGGGTGTTAAAAAAGTACATGTGTTAATGTGAGTGTGTGTGTGTGTGTGAGTGTGTCTGTTAGTGAGTGTGTGTGAGTGTGTCTGTTAGTGAGTAAGTGTGTGTGTGTCTGTTAGTGTGTCTGTTTGTGTGTGAGTGTGTCTGTTTGTGTCAGTGTGTCTGTTAGTGAGTGTGTCTGTGAGTGAGTGTGTCTGTTATTGAGTGTGTGTGTCTGTTAGTGAGTGTGTCTGTTAGTGAGTGTGTGTGTGTCTGACTGTTAGTGTGAGTGTGTTTCTGCTAGTGTGTGTCTGCTAGTGAGTGAGTGTGTTTGTGTTTCTGTTAGCTAGTGTATGCGTATCTGTCAGTGAGTGTGTGTGTGTGTGTGTGTATTTATAAGGCGGGGGGAAGGGATGGGTGGGGGTCGCGCGCGCGTGGGGGTGTTGGGGGGCGCCTGAGTTTTGTCCTGCCTAGGGCAGCACAAAACCAGGATACACCACTGCCAACACAGCATGCAAACACAACCCTGCAATCAAATACAAACACACGGGTGTATTTAAAATCCAAAATGATATGCAACCACACACTTTCACTCAAACACCAATACTATACACAATTGTACGTCCACATTTAGAAGCCAACACTACGTCCAAACACACCACTGCACTCAAATGCAAACATTACATACAAACACACCCCTGTATTAATACGCTAATATGCAAATACCAACACTATACACAAGTATACTACTGCTTCCAATGGCAATAGTACATACAAATACATTCTTACATGCACACACATACTCTATACAAAAGCATTCTTACATTCAAACACAAACACTGCTCACAAATACAGCCCTGCAAGGATGGGCAATTGGTAGACCTCCACCTAGCATAGTATCATGGGAGTTGTATGATAGATGGGGATCTATCTTTTCGCCACTTTGGCGCTAGAGGGGCAAAATAAATACTTGCACAATGGCTCTGTCTACACTTGTTCCACCACTGGTGACTAGGGCTGCATTAAAAAAAAAGTTATTTAACCCCTGACAGAGAATTGAGCAGTGAGACTGCAGGGGCATTATCAATACACCAAAACTGCTTCATTAAGCTAACGTTGCTTTTGTGACTTAAAGAACAGATTGCCATGATGGTAGACTCTCATTTGTCTTTAAAATGGTTAAAGTATTCTTATATTCCAGAACTCATAAAATATAGTTTATAAGAAACTACATTTAAAAACTGCATTTTAGTGTCAAAGTTGACATAAACATCTTTTGTGTATTACATATACTGAAACACGTGATGTATTTTGTGCTCTTATGGGGTTAATAAGTGGGGCTGGTATTTTACAGGCTTATTGTTCTCTGCATGGCTCTGCCTCCTTTAATACAGGTACATAACACATATCGACCTTACCCACATCACCACATGACTTCATCGCAGAGAAAGTCACAGGAGCACCCTGGCCACTGCTACAGAAACTACTGGGAGCTCCTTGAAAACAGCTGCAGGTCTGTGTATCAATCTAGGGTAAAAGGGATCTTTTGGGGTCATTTACTAAACTGAGAATTACTTTGGTATTAAATTTGCACTTCCTACTCCCTCTGCCAATTAGCTACATTTTCCAGTTTAGTCAATAGCCCCAGGATTATTAACTAAACTGAGAATTGTCACGATTTCAAAAGGGAATAGCAATGCTCAGACCAAAATAGCCAGAGTGGACATTCCCAACATATATGTATGCAGCTCAGCTATTCTGGCCTTAAATATTACCTAAATATATGACGAATCACAATTTAGTAAATAAACCCTGTATATTTGCAACGTACATAGGTCAACATGAATGGACCCTACAATTTTAAAATTGATTTTATATGTATTGCTTATGTAAAGTTTGAAATTCTGCCTTTTCTGCACTTTATAATGTTCATTTTTATTATTGATGATGGTGGATGTATGGAACAGTTTCTGGCGGAGGAGGAAATAAAATACATTAGGGATAATTCATTAAACAAGGAATTGAAAACCCTCTTGCAATACTTAGGCAAAAATCACCTTGCACTAACTAATGCTGAGTTGCAGATTTTTTTTTCCCCAATTGGCTAATTTGGTACAAACGTTGTAACTTGATTTCTGGTACAATCAAAAAAAATGTTATAGTGCCAACCTATTCCGCAGTGCTGTACTATAGGTAAACAAGACAAACACTTAATTCTAACAAAATATGATTCATATACTGGAGCAGTAGGTAAAAAGGGCACTGCTTAAATGAGCTTACATTCTAAAAATTCACTGTCATATACCGTTAAGTAATACTTACTAACATTTGCAATGGACACTAAGGTCCTCTTTGGTTTTAAGGGTGTGAGTGGGAGTGTGACCAGGGGTGGGGCTGTTGTGAAACATATTTTGTAATTTACGAATAACAAGTTATGCAACTAAAATTTAATATAGAAACAAAAATAATGCATATTATTTACACAGACTGATTTCTAAACACATTTATTGTATTTTAAAGACACATTGCTGTATTATTGCTCTGTTCTACTTTCAAAACCCATCAACAATATGGAGCTTTTAGTAGGGACTGTCTTTCCTAAATGGTGACACTTGGGAACTTTGGTTAAGCGCGTAAGTCTTAAAAAGTGAAGTAACAGTGACATTTTTGTACAGGATTTCTCAAATGTTGGTCCATGGATTATCAGAATTCCTGGCCTAGAGCTTTTCATGGTTGTCCTCGGAATTCTGACAATTATAGATATTCATATCTATGGGTAATATCCATTTTCCTGGCACTGCAGGTCCCCTCTCCCTCCCACCACCCACCCCCGGTAGCTGAAGGGGTGAAAACCCCTTCAGGTCACTTACCTGAGACCCTGCCGATGTCCCTTGGCGGTGGTTTCTACTCGCCGCCGCTCCTCCCAGTGATTACGTCAGCCGGTAGGCGAGACTGATCCCGCCCGCCGGCTGAGGAAACCTAATGCGCATGCGCGGCAATGCTGCGCATGCGAATTAGAGCTCTCCATAGGAAAGCATTGAAAATGCTTTTTAATGCTTTCTTATGGGGAATTGAGCGACGCTGGAGATCCTCACACAGCGTGAGGACGTCCAGCGATGCTCTATCACAGGTTTCCTGTGCTATGGACACTGAAGTGCCCTCTAGTGGCTGTCTAATAGCCACTAGAGGTGGAGTTAACCCTGCAAGGTAATTATTGCAGTTTATAAAAAACTGCAATAATTACACTTGCAGGGTTAAGGGTAGTGGGAGTTGACACCCAGACCACTCCAATGGGCAGAAGTGGCCTGGGTGCCTGGAGTTTTAAAATAGTCGAATTTGAAATCAGTTCTGTTTTCAGTTTGGCTATTTTAATCTTAAATTTGAAATTAAATTTGATTTCCAGTCAGTTCTCACTTTAGTGGATAACGCTGTTGGTGTACAAGGTGGAACTGGTAGGAACCGTTTAACACCTGGAAATGGGTTGTAGTTTTGAAAGATACTGACTTATTTGATTAAAGCAAGTGGTTGGATGTTTCACAAATATATTTGTCTGTTTCACTGCCCCACCCGCTACAACTGCAGTTTTAGTGAAAAGTATCTGGTCATATTATGGTGTCTAGCTCCACCAAGTTTCTCAGGAAAGTATCCCCTGTACATATTGATAGGCAGCACGTGAAAAGTGCAATTTTATTGTATGTAGAATTAACCGATTTTGGTGGGACAGTTTTGTGGTCCTGTTTGCTATCCCAATGAAACACCTTAAGAGTCATGGAGTGTCAAAGTTGCCCAATACCCAGTAGTGCACAGCAGATAAGTATGTCTTTTATGTACTTCCGCTGCATAATTCACCTAAGTAAATGCTTCAATAGCGATAACTGGGGTGAGGAGTCAAGCAACTGTCACTTCCAATGAAATAAAGTTTTCATTTAAAATCACAAAGCTTTGCACTGGTAAAAATTATTCACTATCACTGTGGAGGTTAAAAGTGGAGCACTGCTATTTTTTTGCGGAGGGGGGGGGTTATGTGTAGCAATTTTATTTTTCATTTTTTTACTTTACATAGAATTATATTGGCGTTTTGAGAAAAGAATAACTGTAGATTTCTTCTAGCCTCATTTTGCTCTCTAAACTTCTGTAAATATGCATTTCTTACAACAAATCAGTTCTCTATTTATCCAAAAGTAAGATGGCTTGGCCAGATACAATATTTTGTAAGAAAAAATATTGTGAGAAAATCAAACCTGGAAGGGGTGTGAATATCTGATGCCAATAAACATCCAATGGTAGGTTCTGAAAGTTGCCAGTCCCCTACAGACCAAACCCATTTTATCATCTACATTGTTCTATGTTTTCCTGTGAATCAGAGGTCACCCATGTCTAGTACCAGCAACTGTTTGCTTAATACTTTCATTGCAATGTGGATTAATGCCGTGAAGGTCCAATGAAAAATAAATTCCTTTCTATCATGGCATCCCTGGAATTTAATTAGCTCTAAAATGTTGAAGCATATCTGCAGACTGCCATTTAATGGTAACTGTTTTACTGAAGTATCAATCAGAATATGTGCATCCCAAATCAAGATCATATTTTCTGTTTTGTGAAAACTTTCACACATTAAAGGGGAAGTCTAATGATCAGAACTGCTTTAGTGTATTGTAGTGGTAATAGTGCAAGGACTCTGTGAGTACTGTCTCCACATTTTCTTTCAGCCTGCTCAGATAATTCAGAAGATTTATTTCCACATTATCTTTCCAGAGCTATCTTTAGACAGAAAAGAGCTGCAAATATTGGATACACGGTTGTATAAAACCATTTGTTTCAGATGATAATTAGTGGCATAAAGTCAGGTTGTGCAGTCGTAGATCTCTTAGCCAGCCACTAATTGAACTTTGATGGGTCTTAAACTAATTTGATGCAAATATTAGTTTGGAATTATGCAGAATACCTTATGCAGTATGTATGTAATTCCAGTCTTGTGTTGCAGATCTGTCAACTTGGGATGGCATGTAACATAAGGCTCCCTCTTTTGGAGACCCAGTTGACCTGCCCAATCTGCTTGGAAGTCTTTAAGGACCCTCTTATGTTACAGTGTGGACACTCCTTCTGTAGGGACTGTTTGTGGGGCCTACTGAAAGAAACCGAGATCAATCTTTTGTGCCCTGTGTGCCGACAAGCGGTCGACGACAGCTGCTTCCCTTCCAATGTTACTGTTAAACACCTCATCGAAACATTGAAGTTGTTGAACGAGCAACAAACAGGGACTGAGAACTGCCCCATTCATCACGATCCACTGAGCTTGTACTGTGAGCAAGACCAGGAAATTATCTGCGGTCTATGTGGCATTATTGGTGATCACCACCATCACCACATCACACCGTTGACCAGTGTATACAGCAGGATGAAGGTAAACGTATTTGGGAAGACCTCTAGGGGCAGGAAGTCAATAGTTATGTGAGTTCCTTTTGTATTTATTTCAAAAATCACTTGTCTTAGTAATGGGCCCAATATATTTAATTTAACATAGGGTTATTAAAACATATAACTACCCCTATTTGTGACGTATATTTCACTTATTCTTTGTAAAAGAAAAATGGAAAATATATTTAAAAGACTGGAAATGTATACTTACATGAGATTTGTTTTTTTCATTAAATAAAGTAAAAAGAATGTTTACACATATCATTAACTAAATAATCACATCAAAACCAGAATACGGTATTCAACATGTACAGGGATTCCATATACATTGATTGGGGAGTGGGGGGGCAATTTTTTTTTTTTTTAGAGAGTGCAAATGAGAATCTCTTCATTTGCATTGCTGTATGTGTAAGAAACAATTGGAAATGCAGATATTGATGTTGTATAAAATATAAATTATGCTTGTAGTATTTATATTATGTACTGTCACTTGCTTTGTCTTAGGAGGAAGTGTCTACACTAATAACCGATGTACAGAGAGAAAGGAGAAGTTTGGAGGAGCACATTAGTAAACTCACCAACAACAAGACCCGCATTTCAGTAAGTGCAATCTGATATGTCACAAGAGTGAGTGATTTATCGTATCTATCTTAGTGAGTAAGTGTTAAATGTATCACAGATTGTATCTATCGTAGTGAGTGATCATACATATAACAGTGTGTCTGACAGACTGTATCTATCATAATGAGTGGCTGAGGGATCATAAGTATTACAGTGGTCACTGACTTTGTGAATGAGTTTATCTGTTACTTGGTGAGTGACTGAGTAATCTTGTCTATCACAGTGAGTGGCCGAATAAACATATCTGTGACAATGAATGGCTAACTTAGCAATTGTATCCATCATATTTAATGTGATCATCTTTCTCACAGTGGATGCTTGGCTGTGTGACCTTGATTTTCACTTAGAATCACTGGCGGTGTAATCTGTTCAAATCTATTCAAAGGCACTAAACCAAACGGCCATTTACAGAAACATGATTTACTGCATCAATACATGGAGAAGCATTGAAAAAGAATAATATAGGAAAGTTGACAGTAGGGAAAGAGAAAGAGGAAAGATATTCCATCTTCTCAATTAAGCAGCTGAAGCCGGGGTGTCATCAAAGAGCATGAATCTCACTGCCCCATCTCAAGGCTCAGGGCTATGTATCCGTTGATGGGGCTTCTTCCTCTTGCATGGAGACAGGGAAGAAAAGGGAGGACAACTCAAATGCACACAAACTGTTATGTTTGTATCCATCTCACAAAATGGATGCTTGCAGTCAGACATCTCAATAGTGGCTGAACTGCATGCATAACTCCCAACATTTTAGAGGGTCCCTTTAATTTTAGGTGCATGACCAGGGGCAGGCCTGTTCTTAGAAACTTTAGGTGACTTACTAATAATAATTTATGTAACTGAAATATAATTCAAGACAAGAATAATGTGTTTACATTTCTAAACACATTTATTATAGTTTAAAGGCACATTACTGCGCTTATTATTGCTGTGGAGTTCTATTATACACTCAGACACACCAACAATATGGAGCTTCTTGAAAAGAGGGACGGGGGATTTGCAGCGAAAATAAGGAATTTCCCTCTTAAATAGGGATACTCGGGAGGTATGCCGTGTGGTGCTACAGCATGGCCACTGGGAAGGGCAACCAATTGTACCACTACTGCATGAGAGTCCTGTAATAGCTGAGTAGGAACTAGTGTGATTTTGGCACTAATGCTACAAGAGGACTTCATCTATATGATTATTGCTGCTGTACCTCTTTAAATAGTGAGGCCATTTGCCATATTCTATTTAGTGGCACTTCATTTGGAGTTAGTATTTTTATATTTGGCTGAATCCATTTGAGGTGTAACGCGTTGAGTCAAAACTTTCCACACCATAGTGGTGAACACGCAGGTTTCCGTTTACTGAAAAAATGCTGTGTGCTTGTGACTAGGAGTGTGAGATCATTGTGTACTTTTTTTCATTTACACAATGAAATGCCCACATAACACACCGAGATTAGGGAACCAGTCACAAATAGGTAGACAGATGCCCTTGTGGATTGTCCTTTACAAAGTTTGTGATAAGACTTTGCTATGGGAAAAGCAACTGTGTAGGTGAGATAAAATTAAAAGGAGTGGTGAAAATATTAACAATACAAATGACTAACAAGCACATATTGTTCCAAAACTGAAAAACAGAGATTTGTTACAACTCCAGATAACATGACTCTACGTGTAGGCGGGAAGCAGGGGTGTAAAAATCGGAATCATATTTTTATTTTGCATTTCCCACATCTGTTTTGGAAAAAAATATATTGTTTTTGCTGTGACCTCATTGGCTTATACACTAAATGTAAAGTTTGTTAAAAACTTCAGAGATGAAATGTTATTCCGAGCAGTGTCAACCGTGGGTAATAAAAAGAGCTGGGCAAAAGCAATATCATTTGGAATTCTAAGTATAGCTTTTCAGGTAAAACAACTTACTGTTATTATTATTATTATTAGAATAGTTGTGTCAAATTTAGATTTTTTTAAATCTCTCGATACAGAATATTTGATTATTGCGTTGTTTTAATTTCCCACTATTATATGTGAAATTGTCAACTAAACAAATTGTCAACTAAGCAGCTGAATAACAATGGTTAACATTTTGAAAAAGTGCAGCATTTTATTTATTTATTTTGAGAAATGTGATTTCAATTGTGTCTATACTACATAAATAACAAGTAACGCAATGAAGCATAATATCTACCCATAGGACTGTCTGGGCTATGTGCGGTGCCTTTAGCTGGGTGATATAATAACCTACAAACAGTTCAGATACAAGATGATGTCTAGAACAGAACCAGGGTGGGAGCCAGGATACCAGAGATCAAGACTAGACAAATAATAGGTGGATATACCAAAGTCAATATAATAGAAATACATGCTCGAGCCACAATAAGGCAGCAGTGAGTCATCTGTGGCTCTGAGTTTAAATGCTATTAGATTTGGTGCCAATTTGTAGGGCTATTCTCACTAAGAATTGCAGGGAATTCAAAGTGAATTCTAAATTTAAGGCCAAAATGGAAGTCAACTAAGCTTCCAACTCAGCTACTTTGGCCTTTGAAATTCACTTTGAATTCCCAACATTTCTCCATTTAGTAAATGACCCTGTAGGTTTCACCAGATGTACATATTGAGCATGTTTTTTTTCAATTCAACATGGCCCAATTGTAAAATATTATAGCTATAAACTACGTACAATAGAGCATTGGACATGCTGTCAGAGCTGGAGTGGGTACCAGATATACTGGTAACTGTTGTGGCATGTTGTGACATTAGTTAACTTTAAGTTCAAATTAGGTTAGAACCATAACTTATGTACATTATTTATTTAACCTTTCAATATTCAGTGTGTCCTTCTGCCGTTTTCCTTACAGAATGAGTCTGATGTGTTCCAGCGCTTGATTAGCAAAGAGTTTCGGGAGCTACACAAATACATTGCAGAGGAGGAGTCCCACTTCCTGGACATGGTAGCGAGGAAGGCTGCTGAGCTCATCAGATCCATTGAGTCTCAGCTCATGCAGAAAAATGAGATCCTGAGAACAGTGCGTGAACGAGAAAGACAGCTGGAAAACTTGGGAAATGAAAACCACCTGCATTTCATTCAGGTGACATAGCCTGCCTGATACCACATAAATTAAGGATAAAGTCACTAAACTGGTCATAGTAGAAAATTGGTGACAGAATTGCCAATTTTGAAATATTATTAAAATTAGTTAATAGGAAACATTTAACATGTCAACAGCTATATGGGCCTAAATTGTGTGATTCCATCATTTTTTCCCCCTACATTTTCCATGTTCTCATATAGAAAATATATAATTTCAGCCCAATTCTATCATATATTATACATCATGTGGGTTTTATTTTTATAACAGCATGTTACAGTCTATCATAAAATACTTGCATTAACATAAACACTACACAATTAATCTATTGAACATTTCCTGAAGGAATCTGTTTAACTGCTCAAGTAACTGAATAGCAATGCAGCTGTTGGACAAATCTCTAGAATCACAGAGGAATTCGGCATCAGTTCATCTGATAAACTATCATCTGACCATAACAGCTGCCAAATTTTTTTGTCAATAGAGACACATGTATCCATATGATGAAATTTGGCCAGAATTTAGTAGAAAAGTATGTGTTTTCTTTATAATAACATGGGATTGTAGGTATTTGACAACAAATTTGCTAAACTAAGGTCAAAGTCACCGAATTATAAGAACAGCGGAATTGGTGGATATATGACCCTACATTTTAGAAATATGCTCATCAATTCACAACAAATCACTGCTTGGTGACAAAACCCGAAATTATGTTTGGAGTCTGCAGTAGCCAGTAATGATTGCCCAGAATTGTGCCAACACTTTGTTTTAACCAACTTTGTGCACCTAAGGAATGTGGGTATTATAAATTCCATATTTTAAAATCCTGAGTACATTTTTTATATCTCCCAAAGTTTCAAATGGACAGAGAGGGACACTTTAGTTTTACAGGTGAATGGGGATGTGGCAAGTGGCAGGGTTGTTCCAATAAATTGTTTGTGATTTACAAATTACAATTTATAGAACTTAAATGTAATTTAGCTAAAAACAATGTATCTAATGTACACAGCACAGTTTTTAAACACACTTATTGGTCAGATGGAGATCTGGGGAATTTGAGGTCAAGGCAACACCTTCAACTCTTTATCATATTTCTTAAATCATTCCTAAATAATTTTCACAGTGTTGCAGAGTGCATTCTATTGCTGAAACAGACCACTGCTATCAGGCAACACAATTGCCATGGTATGTGGTCTGCAACAATCTCTAAGTAGGTGGTATGTGTCAAATTACCATCCACATTATTATCAAGACCCAAGGATTCCCAGCAGAACATTGCTTCAAGCATAACACTGCCTCTCCTGGCCTGCCCTCTTCCTATAGTACATCCTGCTGCCATCTATTCCCCAGTTAAATGATGCACACGCACCAGGGCATCAACATGATCTAGAAGAAAATGTGATTCATCAGACAAGGCAACCTTCTTCCATTTCTCCATGGTCCACTTCTGATGCTCATGTCCCCATTGTAGGTGCTTTTGGTGGTGGACAGGAGTCATCATAGGCACTCTGACCAGTCTCTGGCTATGCAGACCCAAACACAGCAAACTGCAATACACTGTGTGTTCTGAGTCCTTTCTATCATGGCCAGCATTACATTTGTCAGCAATTTGAGCTTCACTAGCTCTTCTGTGTGATCGGACCAGACGGGCTAGCCTTTGCTTCCAAAGTGTGTCAATAAGCCTTGGTTGCCCATGACCGTGAAGCCAGTTCACCGATTGTCTTAGCTTGCACCACTTTTGCTAAGTAGTAACCACTTCATTCCAGGAACACACACACACAAAAATGACTGTTTTTGTGATGGTGTGACCCAATCTTCTAGTCATCACTATTTGTCCCTTGTCAAAGTCACTCAGGTCTTTTTCTCTTGCACATTTTTTCCTGCTTCCAATACAAGAGATTCAAGAATGGACTGTTTATTTATTTATTGCCTAATGTATCCCACCCCTTGAAAGGTACCACTGTAACAATAAAATCAATGCTATTCTTTTCACTAGTCAGTGGTTTTAATGTAGAGGCTGATCAGTGAATTTAGTTCTTTATATTTGTCATACATAGATATATGTGCCAAAAAATGGTATTTCATTTTCACTAATATTTAGTTTGTAAGCCTGCTGTCTGTCTGTATAACATCAATTCACTAAAATAGTAATTTAACAGAAATACTCCGATTTAGGTATTGTAATCTAAATTTTCAATTTGACTTTTAATTTACTTTGAATTCTTGAATACTCACAGTTTACTCTATAACCCTGATAGTATATAAAATTTCTACAAAACCAGCAGAGTTCTCTAGTCATGTTGTGTCTATATGTCTAGTGATATATTTCTCTGTCCGTAGGTCCTATTTTGATTATTTGCTAAATATGTGCTGTTGAACTTTTTCACTCAATGTTAATATGCTATGTTTCAAATAAGTGTTATCCTGATTTTTTTCCAGTAGCTTATTGAAGGAGGTATTTTTGCAGAGTAGAAACATTACATTAGCGTGTTTAAAGGCCATATTGTAGTAACTGCACATAAAATGTCTTTGGTTTTCTAGAGGATTAACAAAAGTGTAATTTTATTATGCTTTCTCTTTCTTTTATTTCGCTCAGCAGCAAAAAAATAAACATGAGAGAAATCATATATAAAAATAAAAACAAAACTGCATAGACACATCATAATCACTTAAACTGAGTATGATTCATCACAGATGTGACATCACCAACTCTTTCTTTGTTGCACCTTCAGGGCAGTAAAGATCATCGCAATCTACTCACATTTTTCACTCAGAAAGTCTGGGTTCTAACGCATAGTCTGCCCCGTGGGTAATGCCAGCACTGCCCAGTCTAATGAGCCCGAAAGGCTTTCGAAAGTTGGACTTAAGTTAGTCAACATGGCAATTAATGAGCCAGGGGCGGCCAGTAAAGGCTTATTGTTTGGCAAGTTTTTCGTGAAAAATTTAGGTAATTTTGTGAAGACGTTTACTGCTTTGGATAAGGCAGAAAGCTGCATAAAAGGGTGTTCTCACCCAAGATTTTTTAGGGGCCGAAAAAGCAAGAAGCAACTGGCCGGCGTTGGTGCCCATGGTTTCCATTTCTTTCCAACAAAGCTTGGAAGGGCAGACTTGCTCTTTCTTCTCATATATGGGCTATGGTAACTTTGGATATCTTGGTTCTGCAAACTGTTCAGGGGCACCGTTTGAAATTAGTTTCTGTTCTGATACAGATATCACCACCTCCAGAACTAATGATGTTCCAAAACGACTGATAATTGATTTCCAGCAAGAACATCTAATCACTTGCAAAGAATGCTATACAAAAAATCATCCAGTGCCTGGAGGTGTCAGAGCTAATTTCCCCTTCGGTTCCAGGAGGGAGGTGGCGGTTCCAGGGCCCCAGTCAAGCTACGGCAACTGAAGGCAAGAAGTGCTGCGGTTTGTCCCCTGGTCCAGCTAGGAAGCGGTCCTTTGGTGGAGGTACCCAGTCGGGGTGCCAGGTGATCCGTTATAATATTCTTCAAACATCTTGCATACATAATCGGCCTGCTTGCATCATTCATTCAGACAATTTTCCCAGGCCCTACATTATCAGGCGCTTTAGTGTTTTAAAACATCTTATCTATGCTCCTGTCATTCCTACGAAGCCTGTATTCCTCTAGATGCAGAATTCAGGGGAAAACTGACATGGAGGTTCGCTTACATGTGGAATGGATGGGCCATCATTGGATCCACATCAGATCTTACACTGTTGGAGTGCACACTGCGGGACCATTTCCACTGATGGCAGATGGTTCGTCAAAGAATCTTATCTCCACATCAACTGTCTGGAGTTACTGGCGTACTCATTTGCCATTCACAGTTTTTCCCCCAAAGACATATCGTGTTCGATGTTTCTCAGAATGGACAACATGTCAGCAGTCTGATACATAAATCACCTAGAAGGCACAAAATTAAAAGTCTTAGCTGTTGTGGCTCGAGGTTTCTGCCATTATTGTTTTCTTCACAACATCTCTTTTTTGGGGGCGGAACCAGGTCTAGCCAACTCAACAGCAGATTGGAATTCATGTTATCTCCAGGATTCCAGAAATGGCATCTACACTGTTTGATATTATTGAAGCTCTACAAGCTGTGGGGTCCTCTGCACATCAACCTATTTGCTTCCTGGCTGAATGCTTATCTCCTTTGTTTATTCAGACTGGATTAAGCAGCTTCAGTGGTAGAGGCATTTCTACAGGATTGCTATTCGGCATGACATTATGCATTCCTGCCGTTCAACCTCATCTCGAGGGTCCTTACCCACCTTCGTCTTCACGAGGGTATAGTGGTTCTTATCACTTTCTTCTGGAGATCTCGAACTTGGTTCCGATGACTTCTGGAAATATTGATAGATTTTTCACAATTGTTACCAGACATGGTTTCTTTCCAGCTTTATCCAGAAGTTACACATTTTACTCAATCAAGGGCTAACTCATCTTGGCTTGGCTGATTTCTAAGCACTCTGGACAATTGTTGGAGTTACACAAACAACTCTCCATTTCCTTGTACATGCCTGGGCACCAAGACCTAGATGCTCATACCATGCAGTGTGGTAGTCATGGTCTCATTGGTGCATGGGACCGTCTTTGGCTCCCCTATCTGCACCTCTGAATGGCATTCTTCATTTCCTCACCAGTTTCCTCAAAAGTAGACTTTTGCTTCTTCGCTTGTTATCTAAACACGTGTCAGATGTCCGAATTTGAATTGATCTGCATGTGCTTATGTGCCTGATGGTATGTCCTTTGATAGCTCTCATAGAAAAAAAATCTTTGAGAAAACCTTTTTTTTTTTAATCTGCCTATTCCGACCAAACAAAATCTCTGTTTTAATGTTTCCAGGATATGAATTGCACACAGAATCTGTTTGATCTTCGGTAGACCCTTCCTTTTTTATCTCTTTTCATAACTCATCAACCACCTTGACCTGATGGGTAAAATGGCTGTTGTCGTTGGCAGGCATTGATATCACTTTTTTCTCTACACATTCTGTTCTAGGGGTCATGGATTCAAAAGCATCAGTGGTGGCTTGCCGTTTGGACGACACCTGCCCACCCTTTTTTCTTTTTTGGCCTTCAGCTGTTTTATTTTCCATTTTTCATGGTAAGTTGGTGTTTCTAGGAATTTTTTGCTGAAAGGTTGAATTGCTTCTGAATATTGTCTTATTCTGCTGCCTTTTCTCTGACATTCATTATTAATTTCATAAAAATGTTTGTCTCATATGGTCAAGATTCTATGCATGTATAATGGATATATACATACAGATAGAAATACTGTAGAAATATTACCATATTTCTTTTCTCTAGTCTGAATCATCGTCATCATTTCTTTAAAGATCTGTTGGTTGATCGGTTCTTTGTTCGAATCCTGTTGGTGGTATTTCTGGTTCTCGTGATCTGGTTTTTATGGTCTCCGGAATCCGCAAGAAAGACGAGGTGCTAGATGATGTCACACCCTCTATGGGTCATAACTCAGTTGTCATTGGTTATGATTTTTCTATGCAGTTTTGTTTTTACCTTTATATGATTTATCTCGTGTTTTTCTTTGTTGCTGAGGTAAATAAAAGAAAGAGAATGCATAATATTTGCCTCTGTGTCATTAATAAAATCATCACTTTACGTCATGTTAATAGTAAAATATGGTAATTATTGTGTATATAATCACTGATCCAAAACAATCTAAGAAAAAAACATTGCACAATTATTTAGTACTACCACTGTGACCACTGTTTTACAACTTCCCATATGATTGGCATTAGAAAGGCAGATTAACCCTTTAGGTCCATCTGTGTCTTACCTGTATTTTTCATTTATTTAACTCTTGCATTTGTTTTTGTTTACAGAATTATGCTGTGGTCACATCTAAGTAAGTATGTGAGAAAATAGGTCCCGCCAGGTAGTGTTTGAAGGTAATAGGCAAACAAAGAACTGATGGTCTATATCTTCTCTCCCAGTTCACAGACACCTCTCCCACGCTCCGTTGAAAAGCCTTACACTGCTGTCTCTTTTAAGCCAGGGTTCCGACAAGATGACATCAAGCTCACCGTCTGGAAGCGCCTACACCGCAGAATACTGCCAAGTGAGAAATATTCTCCTTTGTCATCCTATGCATGTACAATGTTACACATAATCACCCAGCACATTTCAAGTGTCACATAACCTTCTGTCATTAAAGGGACACTGTAGGCACCCAGACCACTTCAGCTAACTGAAGTAGTCTGGGTGCTGTGACCCTCTTGCACTTAGTGCTGCGATGTAAAACACTGCAGTTCCAGCACTACATTTGCCCTCTGTGGCTGTCTCACAGACAGCCACTAGAGGGCTTCCGGAATCCAAATATTGCTAGTGCATCTGGATTTATCATTATAAGTGTTTTCTGTAGGCAATTATACACACATGCTCATAGCTAGGACATGTCCAGAGGCTCACTAAAACTTGAGTTTTCATTTTTTATCCTGGCCAGCATTGGGAGGCTTAACGTTGGTATGGAAAAGGGAAAGGGTTGAAAGTGGTGACGTGCCACTGGTGCCTCTTGTGTCACTGTTGTGTTCGTGGATATGCAAGGGAAAGCCATTCCAATGCAAATGGAAGCCATAATGACAGGTAGTTTTACAAACAGGGCCCCACAATATGCAGAGATCTGGTGAAGTACTCTTTTACAAGTAGAAATACTGTAGAAAGCATTTAAGCATGAGCTTGCATTCCAGTCCAGGGAAAACCAAAAACCAAAAACCAGGGCCTAAGTAGTGAATGTCCCACTGTATCCATGGCAATTATAGCGTGACATTAAGTTTGATGGGAGTGTCAAAGTGTTAAAATGTTGAAATCTGACAGAATTACACTGATCAGCCACAACTTTAAAACCACTGGAAAACCTTGGGCCCTGGCATTCTTGTGGATGTTACTTTAACACGCACCACCTACGTAGAGATTGTTGCAGACCACACACAGCCCTTCAAGGAAATGATGTTCACTGATGGCAGTGGCCTCTTTCAGCAGGATAATGCACCTTAGCACACTGCAAAAATTGTTCAGGAATGGCTTTAGGAACATGACAAAGAGTAGAAGATGTTGTCTTGGCCTCCAAATTCCCTAGATCTCAATCCAGTTGAGCATCTGTGGGATGTGCTGGAACAACAAATCTGATCCATGAAGGCCCAACTTCGCAACTTGCAGAAATTAAACGTTGCCGTAACCCCACTTTAGAACAGGCTTAGGAGTACTAGAGAGTTAGAAGTTGTTTAGGGTTATTAAGGACTTAGGGTTTAGTGGTTTTAAGGCTAAGGACTAAAGTTTAGGTTGTAACGGGTTTGTTGTGTTTAAGATGTCACTTTTATTGCTCTCAATCAAGTTTCACCTGTATTTTACTTTTAATCATCGTATTGGTTATCTTCTTTAGGTCCAGAGATTTTGAGGTTGGATCCACTCACTGCACATCCCCTTTTAGAGCTATCCAAAGGAGACACTTTGGTGCAATGCCGCTCACTTGCCTCCCGTCGGGGGAGCAACCCCGAAGGCTTTGGCCACAGCAGTTGTGTACTGGCAACACGTGGTTTTTCTACTGGGAAACATTACTGGGAAGTTATTGTTGGTTCGAAACAGAAATGGAGAATTGGTGTGGTCAAGGGCACAGTGAGTCGCAAAGGAAAGCTGATTCGAGCCCCTGACGCTGGAGCTTGGCTCATTGGACTTAAAGAGGGACGGTTCTATGAAGCCTTTACATCCCCCAGTGTCTCTCTACCCATCAACACACGGCCACAGCGTATTGGTATCTTCCTGGATTATGAGAAGGGGGAGCTAACCTTTTATAATGCAGACAGCCCAGATGAGCTGATGCAAATATATACCTTCCAAACAGAATTCCATGGCAAGCTCTATCCTCTGTTTGATGTATGCTGGCAGGATAGGGGCCCCAATCCTCTGCCTATTATACTACCACAAGTATAAATAAGGGATAATGCCACGTTTGTGTAGATACCATTAAAATATATATAAAATGACATTCTGCCCCAGTGCTAGATCTGTTTCTGGTCTTATAGAAATCTTAAGGATGTAACATTTCAAAGGGGTTGGATTTAAGGGCTGCAAGAACAAATTATTATTTTGATAATTATGTGTTTTATTGATCTTTTCTGTAGACTGCTTTTTCAGAAATAAGGACAGGCTCATGATTATGCTTCAAAATGTATATTAGAATCTGAAAAAAAAAACTAATAGTCTCTTCAAAACTGTATTCGTGAAATAATTTTTGAGTTCATATGTTCGTAAATCTATCCTTCTAAATGCATCGCCAGTTGTTTTTTTCTTTGAAAATATAAATACGGCTAAATAGAAACAGTTTTAAAATCATTTAATCTTTTAATCCAGGACAAAAAAATATAGAATTCAGGCCTGTATATAGAAAAACAGACTATAGTGTCCAAAACATATGTAACCTAAAACCTGCATTTTTATAATCATTCCCTGTTTAAAGATTTGATTAGACACCCAACCTTTATGTTCACCTTTAAGTACATTTAACATTGGCAGTGTTTGGTTTTTATGTACTCAATTATTATTATTTTGTAATTTAACAAATGGAACTGTGAACTAATCGTACGGAATCGACAATATGTGGATTGTATATGACTGGGTAATAAGTGTTTTTCTTATTTATTTTGCTAACATCTATAGCTAAATACTGACAACATAAATTAAATAATTAATTTAAATGAGTAATTAGAGTAATGAACAGTTTTGTGATGGGCGAGCTTTGAGCTGAATCTGCCTGATAATATATTATAGTGGGCTTTTACTAAATCTAGTGCATGTAAATAGCTAAACCTATCATTTGATATATAGGGATTGCCACAGGATATAGCAGAAGTGATTGTACCTCCAAGTGAATATATCGGGAAATTTGGGACTGTCATTTAATCTAAGGAATTTAAGAGGCTGTACTTGCTCTGCGTCTAAGGATTGATGGGAATAGATTTCCAATGGTCCTGGAATTCTGCATCAGTTTGAAAACCCAGTTCTGCTGCAAAGACATTATCTGATGGTAGCTGACACAAGGACTTGGGCCTTTTAGGACCTACAATATGTCAGGCCTATGACGATAACATGGGATTTGCTAAACTCTGAATTCATTTTTTTGTTCCAAGGACTGTTCTCCTCTGTTTGCGATTCTACACTAATGAACTTTAAAGCAAATGCCTGGACATTTTAATACATGAATCACATGTAGTCACTCTTGAAGCAGATTTACTGATTAAACTGATAGGTTTATGTTCTGTGACTGAATAAAGGCCCAATTTCTCCGTCCACTGACCACATTATTCACTAAATTGTAAATTGTCGGGGATTCAAAGTGAATTTCAAGTTTTAGGTCAACAAATCTGAAATTAAAGTGTACATGTTTTGGTTCACACAAGTTAGATTAAATTTAAAGAGTATTAAACGTCAGGTAGAAATTGTGCTAACAAATGTATACATATTTTCTCTTAACATTCTTTAAATGTATAGCCCTTTCCTACCTGTGAACTTTCAGCACAGTACATACTCTCTGAGCCAGCAGGACAGATGTCTGTGAGCAACAATGAATGACAGGGAAAGCAGGAGAAACCTCTGAAAAGTGGTACTTCTTCTCTGTCACACTTGTTCTGGTGCTAGGTAATGTACTGGCTATAAAGTGTTATCAGGGAATTGTCCCCAAGCAGAACCAATCAATATGCAGAGGTGAACATAGTTTGTGTGTTAAAATAGTATAACACCTGTGGATCTTGTGGAAAGGTCAGTACTGGAGTAAAGAGACTGCAGGTAAGTAGGAAAATATCAGCTTCCAATACAATGAAAAATATCATTTATCTTAATGATAAATTATATATTTGTTGCTTTGGGAATCGTTATACATTTAGTTGAACCTGGCATGACAGACTCGCTTTAAAAGATGGCTGCCAATTCAACATTCATCGTTTTGTGAATAACTCTGTCTGGGTAATGCCGATTGGATTTCAGATTTTAAGCCAAAAAAAGCCAAAGTAGGAAGAAAAATGTTTTCAATTTGCCATTTTGGCGTGCAATTTTAAAATTACTATGGATGCCCATTAATTCACACAGAAGTAAATAACTCCATTACTAAACTCCAAACTGTATCAAATTGAAAACAGAATGGCAAAATGTGAGCCAACAAAAAGAAAGCCTAAAATGTGACCTAAATTATGCTATTTAGATATCAGTTTGCTATAATTTGGAGATTAGTGAATAAATGCCTATGCATCTTTGTGAAGGATCCTTACGCTCTGCATTCAGAGATGGGCACAAACAACTTTTGTTGAGGTAAGCCAAATGTTCCATTTAAGGGATCAGGGTATGTCTAATTTGGAAATAAAGCATAAAGTAAATGAAATTGATGTACACTTGATCTCTTTTGTTTGTTTTTATTATTTTTAAACAATGAAACATTTTAATGCTTCTAAATTTGATTTTGTGTTAACAAGGAAATAATATTAAATAAAAAATGACTTGAAATATCTGGTCATGTAGAATTTAAATGGAGGAATGCGCAAACAGACATTTCTCTGTACTTTTTCCATTAAAGTGCAGTATGATGGGTTACTAGGAAGCTACATGGCAATTTGCTCCTGGTCCTCCATCCTTCCATTCAGCAACAATGCTAAATGAGGGTCCCCAGCAACTCATCCTCTCTGAGCTACTTTGGGATAATGAAGAAGTATTAGCCTAAGCAGCAACGGGCAGCTGTGATTGGATGAGAGTGTTAGGTGACCGCTTTCAGCCTACCACAGCTCCTATTGCTGGTATGAATTAGTAGAGAAGGAAGTGTATAATCTCTGCCTTAGCCTTACCTCCTGTGTGGGCTGGCCTCTACGTGGCCATGGACCCTAATTTAGTGTTAAAGGGACACTCCAGGCACCCAGACCACTTCTGCCCATTGGAGTGGTCTGGGTGCCAACTCCCACTACTTTTAACCCTGCAAGTGTAATTATTGCAGGTTTTTTTATAAACTGCAATAATTACATTGCAGGGTTCACTCCACCTCTAGTGGCTGTCTAGACAGCCACTAGAGGGCACTTCCTGGATCATAGCACAGGAAACCTGTGCTAGAGCATCGCTGGATGTCCTCATGCTGTGTGAAGACCTCCAGCGTCGCTCATTTCCCCACAGGAAAGCATTGAAATGCATTTTCAATGCTTTCCTATGGGGATCGCTAATGCACATGCTCAACATTGCCGCGCATGCGCATTAGGCCTCCGTGGCCGGTGAGCGGGATCAGTCTCGCCCACCGGCCGACGCAATCACTAGGAGGAGCTGTGGTGGAATCTCGGTAAAAATAAATTTAGTAGGCCGAGATTACCACGTGGCATGTGTACGTGCATATGCTGACGTATCGATCAGTTGGTTGCACGAGGCAAGATACGATCAGTAGTGTACGGAGCATGTGCAAGAATACAGGATGTAGTATTCCCCTCCTCCATTGTGCTGGACAAGCCATGCGGTCAAGCAGGAAGTTAATTCTTATTTGTAATGATTGGTCAAGAGAATGTGCGGGTGGAGCTTAATATGGGAGGAGTTATGTGCCTATATAGGGAGCCTGCACTATTGTTCAGGGCTCAGAACTTGCTGTATTTTTGGTGACATTAGTCCCTCTGAGTCCCGATCGGTGATCCAATAAAGAATCTCTTCCTTCCTGAAGAAACCTGTGTCCATCCCTCTGTGCTTTGCTTCCGTCAGTTTCTCCGGTATCATTTGGTGCATTGGCCGGGAATCTCATCGTTCAACGGTAGCTGAGAGGCAGAGGCGTGAGACGGTCTATCTTTGCCCGCGTTCTCTACGGCTGCACCCCTGAACTTCTGCGTGGACCTCCCTTCGTCTCGGCGCCACTGGTCTGTTGTCCAGGAGATCATCGGCCTCTACGTAAGAAGTGCTGGGGTGTCCCCGTCGATGAGTGTGAACTCAGGTTCAGGAACGAGGAGGTAAGACAACTGCTGTTTTAGACGGCAGACCCACTAGGGGTATACCGATTGTGCGGTAGGCCCAAAAGGGGTTTAAATCTGTGTATGGAATCTGCCCCCTCTGTCGGAGGGAAGGAGCGAAGGCGCACCGCTCGATCGAACGCTCTTTAGTAAGACCGTTTGATCTGGTTAGTCAGGCGGGGTCCTGTGTAAATAGCCCTAGCCGGACACCGGTGTCTTGTCTAGACTAGCGTTCTAGGGTGTATATTACGTTCGCTAGGTCGGAGGGACCGGGAGACTAAGCGGCGCCTGTGTAAATTCGGTTCGCTAGCTCTCAACCTATCTTAGCTAAGTGGGAAGGCGTGTAAATTTGGAACCCACTAGACTTTTGATAGAGTAAATAGACTAGAAGGGCAACTTTGTAAATTCCGCCCTCTAGTTCGCTATATGTGGTGCTTGGGCAGTGTGGCTAACCAAAACGGGTGTATATAGTTTTAGGTAGTCCATTCAAGGTACTGGCCAATAGTTTAGTTGGGATTGTAAATGTGTTAAAGATTGTTAGTAAAGTGTATATCTTGTTAGATAGCGCGAGCTCAGCCGTCTAGCGAGAGTGTTAATAGTGTGTTGCTGTATCATAGTGCACGGTACCATAACCCTGTATATTTACTGACACTGTATATAAGTACTAATCATTGTCGTCTATTGCATGTTTAACACCGTAACCACTAATAATTGTATTGTGACCTTAAATTGTGCTTTGACCTATGCTAACCGTACTGTAACCGATACTAGTAAAAGACGATGTTACTGGGGTGTGTTATAGACGGGTAATTCATATATAGAGAATTATAGCGTGGGTGACTGTATAGTTTCGCCAAAGGGCATAATATTGATTATTTAGTGACTGGTATAACAGCTGTGTGTGTACGGGAATTCCCTGAGTGATTATTGTGTTATTGTGTACGTTTCACTCGGTAACTGTACCACGTGGTGCTG